GGAAATGCTCTTAATGGCTACTCCTGGTGAAGCCTGTTATAGGAATCCAGGGTGCAGAAAGCCAGGATGCTGCTAAATATCCAAGAATGCATAGAACAACCCTCCACCAATATCAAATGCCAACAGAAACCTTGGCCTACAGCCAGGAGAGATGTGTTTCACGGCTGTGCCCAGGGACTTTTTAACCTGGACACAGCTCAGGGTAGGAGGAGGCTCTGCACAAACTTTGGCTTCCTGTCCACTTGACCTTGCATGCTATGGCCACTGGAGCCCATTTTCAAGGAATTTGTTTATATTCCACATTAGTTAGTTAATCTGTTCTTATCAAAATAAGTCAGATATGAGGAAGGGCTAAAACTATGAGAAAACAGAATTCCTGAGAGACCAGGGATGGAATAAGAGAGAGTAAAAGAGAGTAAAAGTCCATAAACTCAGCAGGTGTACTATAGTTGTGCAAGACTATTAACCCGTGGAAAATTAATTCTAGTTTTCATTCAACAGTAGCAACTGACATTTAAAAAAAAAAAAACAAAAAACACTCAAGTAATTTTGAACAGCACCCTCCTGGCCAATGCCAACCAGTTGACTATCTGGGGAAGGCACTATCAATCACCACGCCTGCGAAGCAGAAAAACAGTAATTTCAGAGAGCTTGCAAATCACCCAAACAGCAGCCTGTTTTCTTTTTTTTCCATTTCAAAGCATTCAAGAATCAGCTCTACGGAAAGCACTCCTCTGGAAATTTGGAGATAGAAGGTTTATTAGTTCTCTTCAGACCAGAAGAGGGGAAATAAGGCAGGGGCCACAAAGCAATGAGGTGTGCACTTCCCTCACGCCATGCCTAATGAATGGAATAGTCAGACGGATCAACCCAGCTGCGGAGGGAGAAAGAGCTGCACAGACTTGATTTGCTGGCGGTAAGTGACGGGTGCCAGACGGGTGCCAGAGAAAGGGTCCTGACTCCTCAATCAAGCAAAGCACCTGTCTTTAGAGAGAACGGGGATGTGTGTTAATATCGGCCCCACTTGGCGCTCCGATGACTGGGCCTTTGCCTCTTAACAACCGCAGACATCCAGTGTTCCTGGGGAAGAGACCAGCCCTGCGGGACCCAGCGGATCCAAAGGTGTGAATGGGAGCAGGCGAAGATTTTCTGAAGAGCACACCTTTGAGATCTGGATTAGAAAGGGAACCACTTCCTATGAGGAAATCTTTAAAGACGAGTCAAAACTGCAGGGTCCTGTCTTCCATTTCCACAGCAGAACGCATCTGAGGAAGGACGGTCAGTGAGAAAGGTCCAGTGCCTGGGTTCTCTCCGCTTCCCTTGGCTTGCTGTCAGTCTCCAGGGCTTCCCTTCTCACTCCATTTCCCGGGAGTCCTTCTGCTCTTGAGACCACAAGAGAAGGAGCAATTGAAGGTCATTTAATGATGGA